ATATCGTCTAATTATCGTTATCGATAAAATCCTAGAAAATATTGAGATATGTTTTTGTCAATATCGCATACCCCTAATATATTTAACATTTTGTTTAGAAAAAAATTTAAATAAATATGAGAAGTGCCCTTTTTTTCCACTTGAGCCCCTGCCCAAGTGGAAATTCTACAGCTCATACATACTGTAAAAAACTGAAAAGTGTTGAGATGGAGAAAAGGACCCATAGAGCTGACTACAGTTGCTGTTCCCTGCTCTCAGACTGTGATAACTTTGATCTACTGAATCTGATAGGCACAGGGTTATGTAGAGAGACTTGAACAAGAGATCATGGAGCTTCAGAAGAGAGATGCTGAACTACGTCAAATACTGGACACAGAGGACAACATTCACTTCCTACAGGTAAAGAAATAGCCACTCACATTTAATTAGTTTTCTTTTTTCATTCTGGATTTCTGTCATTCAGAAAGTGGACTAGCCTGAGTGATTATTTAATATGGATATTCAGGAATATTTAAGGAAGCTACTTATCAGCACCGATTTTGTTAAGCGCCTTCATTACTTGTGCAGAATTTTCCCACACTATCTGTTGCACCGGAGCCCATGGTGCCCAAAGTGCTGATAAACCCAGAGTTTTCCTTTAGTGAGATCACCAAGACCGTCTCTGACATGAAAGAACACCTGGACGACATCTGCAAAAAAGAGCTGGGAAACATCTCCAAACGAGGTAATCATGAAGACAATAACATTTAACCGCTGTGAGACAGAGGAACAGATATGAGATTTTACCTCTGTTTTGGCTTTATTATTTCAATATCTAAAATACTCAAAATAATCTAGCTATTACGCAGAGATGTGTGTGCCCAACTCTGCATCGGACACACAGACAGCAAATAAAATTTAATCAGCTCTGCACCACTATAGTTCCATAATAAATTATGGCTGGAAATGCAGATGCAGAGAGATTCATATCCACTACCGTTCAGAAGATTTGGGTCGGTAAGATTTTTAAAATGTTTTTGAAAGACGTATCTTATGCTCACCAGAGCTGTGTTTATTTGATCGCAAAAGCAAAAAAAACTCATGAACTCAAAATTCATTACCATTTTAAAATCTTGTTTTCTATTTGAATATATTTTACAATGTAATTTATTCCTGTGATGACAAAACTGAATTTTCAGCATCATTACTCCAGGCTTTAGTGTCACATGATCCTTCATTCAGAAATCATTCTAATATGCTGATTTGCTGCTCAAGAAACATTTCTTAGTATTATCAATGTTGAAAACAGTTGGGCTGCTTAATATTTTTGTGGAAACTGATACCTTTTTTCAGTATTCTTTGGTGAATTGACCTTAATCAGGTTAGATGCTATGTTGAATTTTACACAAATGAAAACCAGCATGTGTGTGATAAACTTAGTCTTTACAATGGCATGCACTATATAAAGGTCCTAGATCATGTAATTTTCACAACTAACAACTTTCACTATTTTATGGAGTTTTTGTCTATTTGAATTTTTTTTTTTTCAAAAAGAAGTTGAATAATTGGTATGTTAAACATGTAATGATCAATTTAATGCGTCCTTGCTAAATAAAACTACATTTCTTTCTAAATTTATAATAAAAAAACCTTGCTGAGCCCAGTCTTTCGATCAGTAGTGCATATAAAGCTATATTTGATCTACTATTCATTTTTGCATTTGTATGATATTCAAAACTCTTTCATCTTAGTGAGTGACGCCTCAGTCTATATCCTGATTCTGAGATCTGGAGGACATTTGAATGGTGAGAGAACTTCCTGAGGTTTCATTTACATTTCACTTTATGTAGAATAAATTATGTTACAGAACAACTCTGGTCATTTATGTACCACTTATACTATATTTTCAGCTAAGATAAAAACTGATTTGCCAGAGCCTAAAACAAGACTGGATTTCCTCAGATGTGAGTGTATAGATGATTCCACATCATTAATTAATCTATTTCCCTTTACAGATGATAACATATCCCCTTTTAATTCCTTCTAAATGCTGATTAAATGCTCTTTTCTCAACAATTTAATTTCACAGATTCTTGTAAACTTACATTTGATCTCAACACTGCCTATAAAGAGCTGGTCCTTTCAGACGGGAATTGCCAGGTGATCCGGAAAAGAACAACCCAGTTCTACCCAGATCACCCGGCGCGGTTTGATGGGTTTTGCCAGATCCTGTGCGAGGAGCCACTCAGCGGAATGCGGCATTACTGGGAGGCGGAGTGGGATGGTGAATTTTCCATTGGAGTTGCCTACAAGAGCATTAGCCGCAAAGGCAAGAACTCAAACAGCCTTCTGGGATACAATTATAAATCCTGGAGCCTCCTATGCTCAGACTCGGGATACTCCGCCTGGCACAATAAGATGGATAAAGATCTGCCGGGTGCAGCTCGTGCCTCACGGATTGGTGTGTACCTGGATTACGCCAGAGGATCTGTGTCCTTTCACTCTGTTTCTGAGCCAATGGAGCTCATCCACAGATTTCAGGCCAAGTTCTCAGAACCACTGTATGCTGGGTTTGGCGTTGGATCATCTGTAACTCTGTGCATGCTGGAGAAGAAGTACCGAACATACCACTAATAGGTTCAGAGCTGAGCTTTGTCCCTGAGCTCTTTCAGACAGAATCTTGGAAGGGTGAACAGTCAAACAGGCAAAATTTGAGGAATCAAATTGAATTGAAGACCACACCTTATCAGAGTAGTGGGGGATGGGGAGGGGTCATTTAGAAGAGGTTTAAACGGTTAATCTCGCAAGGACGTTTCCAGGTCACATTTTACAATTTAAGAAAGAAAAAAACCGTATTATTAATTTGCATAAAGAAAACTCCACTATTAGGACTCTTTGCATTGTAACTAATACTATTTTCAGGAGAATTAGGCTCATTTTACCCCCCAATTCTTATTACTGTAATTCAAAATACTTCCTCTCATTCTTACATGAAAAAAATACTGATACTACCTTTAAAAATTAGTTAGAAATTAAAATAATGCTTACAATCCCCACAGCCTTGATTTAGTTTCGTGTCAACCATTAAATATAGCAGTAGTAATTAGAATAATCATTTAAATAGAATTGAAATGGGTGTTAAAATGGGTCTTGGACATTTCTTTTGTTAAAAAAAAATGGCAGTAAAAAGTTTGTTTAAAAATAACAAAGCAGACATGAAATGTCATTTCAAAACAGCAGCCAGTCAAACGTAGTACACATTCTGCAATCTTTGAGTTTAGATAAGAAGCAGCTACATCATGAGAAAATTGTGTATTTGAGTGATTATGAGCATGTGCAAATAAAACAAGCCTTCTTGTCATTATTGTTTATTGTCCTTTTGAATGGTTTCTAAGAGATTTTCAGTCATTTCACCCATCACCAAGTAAACCGTAATATGTACAGATGAAAGGAACGATCTGTCGCTGTTTCTTTATACATGGATTAGAAACATTCACATGCAAATCCAGCTTCCTCTAAAATTATCTGTACTTCTCAACTTTTAAGACATGGTTACACTTGTTTCATTAATCCCTAAATGTTGCTCCTTCCTCTCTCTTGATTGTCTTACATCTACGCTGAGCTGTTACTGTGGCATCGTTTCCTAAAGCACAAGGTCAAACCAATGACATATTCTCAATGGATGAATAACCATTAACCTTATCATTTAAAACAGGACATATTTACTCTGCTCACTAGTATACAGTCAACTCACAGAGGACAAGTACAAGTAGATTAGGAGCCCTGATTTCCAAAGGAGCCTCCATATTACCAACAGAACGAACCAATCAGCATCATCACGAAAAATTTAAAGCTCACCCCTACAAACAGAAAATTTGAAATAGGCCTATAAACAAGTGATTGTAAATGTCCACAACCATAATGCCCCCACATGGTATAACTGTAAGCGGTTTGATGAGACTAAAGTATGAACATCCCTAGATCAAGAATTTAGCTCGAATTATATTTCTTTGCATTCAGTTCAAAGTTTTGAGCTGCCATTTGTAATGTAGAATTCTGTGCTGTCTGTAATTTTATCCATTTTTTAAGTCAGCGCTATAAAAACTTTTCATCTCTGTCTGACCGACTGCATACCCACCTATCATATTTACCCCAAGACCCATTATAGGAGAAAAAGAAAAAACATTGTACTGTAAAAAAAATAATACAAAATTCAACTGAGAGGTCACATGGAAAGCGTGACACTCCACTAAATAAACAGCCAATAGTTGGTGTAGCAGTAATAGTAAGTCAACAAGTTTATTAAAAACCATTCAATTTCTCTTCAAGGTTTCTTCAGCTAAATCTGGCTAATAATTTCATTTTAAAACAGAAAGAAATCCACTATTGTCACCTTGTACATCAACACATGTTGTGGACATAATGAATCTACCCACTAGTGGGAGTATCACAGCCGTGCTGCTCGCATGTGCCGTAGACATGCAATGTACCGTGTTTGGTATCTTCTAGGGATTTGGTTCTTAATGGGTTAGTTCACCCAAAAATGAAAATTCTGGATATCCACAGGACGTAAACAATGTATGCTGTTCTGTGTCAGCTGCGTCACGCCAGATACACTGTTTTCGTTCAGATCAAATCACAACGTAAGAAACAGATCCGTGTGACGCAGCTGACACAGAACAGCATACATTGTTTACGTCCAGCTGATACTCTCCAAAATGGCGCTACAGGGTGGAGACGAATTGTTGAATAAAGTCGTTTTTTTTTTTTCTTTTGCGCACAAAAAGTATTCTCGCAGCTTTGTATAATTGTGGATGAACAACTGATGTCACATGGATTATTTTACAGATCTCCTTGCTATGTTTCTGGACTTGGGAACATTTCAGTTGTGTTGCTGTCTATGCAGGGTCAGGCAGTGCTCAGTTTCCATCAAAAATATCTTAATTTGTGTTCCGAAGATGAACGAAGGTCTTACGGGTTTGAAACGACATGATGGTGAGTAATTAATGACAGAATTTTCATTTTTGGGTGAACTAACCCTTTAATGGGATAATTCACCCAAAATTAAAATCATTTACTCACCAAACCTAAATGACTGTTTCTTCTGTGAAAGACATTTTGCCTAAAGGTATGATACAGTATATGTAGCCTAAACAACACTGGACTCCACTGATTTTTAATGTGTGCACATAAAACACTTTTCAAAAAAAATTTTAAGACATTTTTTATTCCCCAGAAGAAAAAGTCATACAGGCTTGAAACACCATAAGGGTGAGACAGCATATTCATCTTTAGGAGAACTATCCCTTTATTATAACATACACCAGATGGGCCAATGAGAGGTTTTACTAAATGAAAAGCTGCCTCCATTGTTACAGCTTTAAAAGGATTTGCGTGATGTCAGGCTTAAATAACTTAGATCCTCCATGACTAACAGAATCTAGCTATGCACTCCCATCAGCCTGAACCAAAACCAGCATACTGTACCTTAAAACAAAATACACACACGCAGACACACATAATAGTCTCCACCAAATACACTCAAGACTCCACAATCGTTCAGCTGGAGTTCAAGGGGTCTGATGGCAGAGTTGTGTCCATGTTTTACAGCTACAGCACTCGCTGTCCATTTATGATGACATCATCAAACTCCTCCTGTGACAGACAGAGAAATAATAAGTACAGAAGCAGATCGTTAAGCATTCTGCTGTCAGTGTGTGTGGATTTGGCTCTAACCTCCTCACTCTCTCGGTACTCCTCCTCTTCCTCATCGTCCTGTGTGTATGTGGCCCCATGGACACTAAGTAGGGCCTGTATCTCTTTGTTGGGTCGGTAAAGGGCACAGTAGAATGGGGTGTGGCCTGCATATGAGCGCTGATTCACCAATGCGCCAGCGCTCAATAATAACTTCACTACCTCTGACCTCTGACCTTCCACCGCCCAGTGCAATGGAGACCGACCTGACCCCAAATCCTACAAAATCAGAGTTAATGATTAAAAAAAAAACTCAAATTAATTATAACACAACTCGAGAAGAACCTTATGTTCTTTCATAAAACATGGTTGTATATTTAATTTAGTGTTATTTTAGTAGCACTGAGGTACTATTATAGTTTTTATTAACATTTTGAATCTGTTTTTAGTTTTATAATTTGTAATTAATTTTATTTAAAATTTTAGTAATTTTGTATTTTGTCATTTCTACTAGTTTTTTTTTTTTTTAAGTCTATCATTGTTTTAGTTTATTTTTTTACTTTGTTATTTTAGTACATCAATTTAAACTAAATTAAAATGAGAAATGTTGCCTTGGCAACTAGATTAAATAAAAAAGTTTTTTTTATATTTTAATTCAATTAATGTTTTTTTTTTCAAGTAACGAAAATGTTTTTAAATGGTTTTCATTTTAGTTTCAGTTTTAGTTAACTACAATGACCCTGATTTAAATCAAATGGTAATTTCTCACCCGTTGATTTACATCTGCTCCAGCCTCCAGCAGCATACTGATGATCTCACAATTGCCCCTATGTACAGCCAGGTGCAGTGCACTCACACCTTAAAGAGACAGATGGACAGAGAAAGGGACAGGATGCAACACATAGATATATAAAAACAATGATATTCATCAGAGTGAAATAAATTTGCTTGACTTTGTACCTGCATAATTGGTGATGTTCAGGTGCACTGGTGGGGTCCGTGAGCAGCTGGTCAGCTCTCTCACACACTCTTTGCGAAGCTCTCTGACAGCCAGGTGTAAAGGTGTGTTTCCACCCCTCTCTTGGATCTCCGCACTGGCTCCACTCCACAACAGTGCCCGAACACACTCACTCCGGTCTACGATGACTGCTAAATGTAGAGCGGTCTAAGCAAACGAGGGGGGAGGGTGAAAAAAAGTTAGAGATAGGGAACACACACCGATGGTGCGTCAGTGTTGCCATATACACTTATTATAAGTGACTCTGGGCTTGTTTTTTATAAAGTCATATTAATATGGTCAGCTGTGGTTTGCATTTTTTGAGTACAATTGTGTATTTGGGCTTGCTAGGTTTTGGGTTCTGTCTCCCTATAGGTGTATATGCATGAGTTTTTGAAAAATAAAAATGTAGGGTGGGACTTGATTTTGTCTTTTGAGATTTGATTGGATCTTTTGCTGCATTCATGTCCTCCTGGGACATTCGTACTTACGAGTTGACAAGTCGTAATTACGACGTCAGGTGCGTTCAAGTCAGTTTAGTCGG